AGGAATAAGGCAGAGAGAGAGAGAGCCCACACCTTCGCCCCTTCTGGGAGGTTCTCAAGATCACTGTCACTCTCAGAAACAAGAAAGGCCGGGTGGTCTGAGCGTGTCCGGCCCAGGCCCATCCAGGAGTCAGCAAGCGCCAAGGGTTTCCCTGCGTGGGGGCAGAGCCAGCCCTGGCTGCCAGGCCCGGTTTGAGCTGGCAGGGCGCAGCCCGCTGTCCCAGCCCGGCCCTGGGTCCCGCCCCAGCACTGACAGTCCCCGGGAGTGGCCCGAGCTGCCCTGCCTGGTGGCAGCCAAGCGGATGACCGCGTCCCTCCCTGGTCTTCCTACCCCTGCCAACTCCTGCCTGGACTCAGCCCCTGGACCCTGAGTAGGCTTGCCTGGGCCACAAAGCCTGGGGAGGGTCTCCCAGCAAAGAGGGCTCCAAGTCTGGCCGAGAGGGGCATATGCACCCTGGCATTCTGCTCACCCCAGGGCCGCCCACCCCTGTGAGGCCCAAACCTGCAGCCTGGGCTGCCCGGCGCTACCTCGAGGCGGCCACTAGAGGGCGGGGTGAGCCGTGGTCCCGCGAGCAGGTGGACGGCCAGTTCCTGGGGGTCCCCCTCAAGGCCCCTGCAGAGAGCCCTGTGGTGGGGGAGTGACTTCTGAGGACACGGCCGCTTGGTCACCATCCTCTCCCCCAGCCCCGGGAGGGTTATAGAACGGGGCCTAAGGGAGGACTAAGAGCTCTCCAGGCAGCAAAAGGGAGGAAGCAGGGGTGGGGGGAGGAAACTGAGGTGCTCCTACAAGAAGAAACAGCCCCCACTGCCCCTGTGGGTGCACGGGGAACCCAGTTTGAAAAGCACAGCTCTGGCCCAGCCCCCTGCAGCGGGAGACCCCAGGCCCAGAGAGAGGAGGGGCCCTGCAGTGACCAGCTGCAAAGGCCACCTCCAGCACCTCCCAACCGGATGCAGGTGGGTCAGAGGGCTGCCTTAACAAGTCAGGGGGCAGGGGAGTCTCAAACAACAACAGGAATTCAGGAATTTACCGGCTCCCAGCTCCGGAAGCCACAAGCACGAGCTCCAGGTGCCAGCAGGGCTGGTTCCCTCCAAGGCCGTTTGGGAGGACGTTCCAGGCCTCTCTCCAGCTTCTGGCATTGCCAGAAATCCTCGTGGTTCCTTGGCTGGGAGACACCTCCCTCCAGTTGCTGCCCCTGCCTGCACGGGGGCCCCTTGTTCCAAATCTCCCTCTTGTCTTTGTGTCTCTGTGTCTCTCCTCTTCTCAGAGGACGTGAGTCCTAAACCCCGGACTGAGGATCCACCCTAAATCCAGGATGATCCTTGACTGGTTACGTCTGCAAAGACCTGATTTCCAGATAAAATCATTCTGAGCTTCCAGGTGGATGTGAGTTTGGGGGGGACTCAACCCCCAACTGAGAAGTCGTAGGCATTTACTAGTGGGGGGCAGGTCCCTAGCCTAGAGCTGCCCACCGGCCTTCACCAGCTGTGGCTCCACCTGGAGGTCGGTTCTGCCTGGCTGCAGCCGCCCTCGAGGAGCGGAGGCCTCAGCCTCCTGGGAAATGTGAGTGGTCC